GGGCAGGTGGACAGAGCACTGAGAAAGGGTTTACACATTTTTAAATAATTATCTGTGTTATTTTCCTACTGAGTATATGTCCATGGCATGGGAAAATAACAAAAATAAAAATAAAGAAGGAAACAGTAAGTGATTTATCCAAATATTGGAGCCCAGACGTCTCCCTCTCCCAGTGGTCTTTCTGGTACAGTCCGTGGTGGGCACTTGGGTACCTGAGTATAGTAACCAGCTGCCCTCCCATTGGAACATACACCTGGCTGGGTTGGGAAGAGATTATGCTGAGCTGCAATATTTACTTCCCCCTGAGTCCCTCACCCCACCAAGCATCAGAATTCCTGGGCCCCCAACTGCATTGAAGGAAACCATTCATTATATTCGTCCTTACCTCCCACTCATGGGGGATTCAGAGCTTGGAACAAGGATGCTCCCATGGGTCATTTTTTTTTTATTTGTTTTCCAACAAGATGAGTTCATTGAACTGATAGTATCTTTTCTTTGCACAGGTTGGAGATACAGGGTATCAGTCACACTGGCTGGAAAAAAGGAAGTGAATGGGTCCATCGGGATTGCTTTATATGGAAGCAATGGAAACTCAAAGCAATATGAAATTTTCAAGTAAGTCTGATAGTAAAGTGAAATGACCACACTTTCCCTAATAGATTATTAATACAAGATTGGGTGTAAACTTCTACATACAGCTAGCCATAGAGAACCTTTGAATCCTAGAATGTCAGAGCCGGAAGGAAGAATCTTAACATCTAATTCAATCACCCCATAGGAGAAGAGGGAGGCCCAGAGAGGAAGCACTCGCGATTTTAAAGGCTGACTCCTTCTGGATTGCCAATCACTGTTTCCTTCCTGCTTAAATTATGGGTTTGTTGTTGTTTTATTTCTAATGTTTTTTAAAATTTTATTTCAGAGAAGGGATGGGAAGGGAAGAGAGAGAAAGAAACATCAATGATGAGAGAGAATCATTGATCAGCTGCCGCCTGCACACCCCCTACGGAGGATAGAACTCACAACCTGGGCATGTGCCCTGACCAGGAATTGAACTGTGACCTCCTGGTTCATGAGTCCACACTCTATCACTGAGCCATACCAGCCAGGCCCTCCTTAAGTTTTATGAATATCATGTTCTCCTTAAACAAGGCACATTTAGATGGCAACTCCTTCCCATCCCACACACACACTCCATCCCCCACTCGTGGTGTGTTCCACGTGAAGCCTGAAGCTAGCTTCCTGTTGTGATGGTAGCCTCAGCTCCTAGCTTTTGTGGGTATATGAGGCTTTTGGTAAAACTGTGTTGGATAACTGTGCTGTAAAATTAGATTCTGTGTTTGCACTAAGTTTGCAGAATAATATTCACGTTAAGTTAAAGTTCTTTGACTACATTATGCTACATAAGAGATGCCCACAGGTGACCCCAGCTGAAGCACATGCATTTTTAAACAAAGATAATGAGTCCTTCATGAAATTAAAGAGTCAATTGGCCGCCCCAAGTAGTTGGCTTCCCTATAGGTATCAATCAAGACAGTGGACTTCTAGAGTCCAGTATTATTCTAAAGGTGTGTTCTTCACAGATATGTTTGTGTTTTAGCGTCCCTGGATGTGTATGGAGGCAGTGAAGGGAATTGCAGAAAGCCAACAGCAGCAGCCACTGTTTGGAGTAGCAACGGGTTGCTATCGCACTAGAATTCATCTATCCAGCTGATAGAACACGTTATGTCTATGTTTGCAGAGGATCCCTCAAACCACGTACAAAATATGTGCGTGACATTGATGTGGACATCAACGTTGGAAAAATCCAGAAGGTTACGTTCCTCTGGAAAAAACGTTGGCTAAATATCTTCCGGTACAAACTGGGGGCTTCGAAAATCACAGTGCAAGATGGAGAATATGGGACTAAGTGAGTATCTTTCATTGCACCTAAGTCTTGTTTCTGTATTTCCTTGTCGCTCTGTCTCTGCAAACATACATGCATACATCCAATCACCCACCCATCCACCTACATATCCTTCTACCCACCCATTCCTTCACCCCTTTCTCTCCATCCACTTAACCACTGACCTATCCACTTATCCATGCAGCCATTGACCTATGCACTTATCCATGCAGCCATTCATCTACCCAGCTATTCCTCTCAATTCTGCATCTTTCCATCTATCCATCTGATTTACTTGAAAAATCAGTCATCGTTTTCCTTAAGCCAAATTCAACTTGGCCAGAGCAAGACATCAATTTAAGGCATGAGTTGGAGAAACAGGCCAATAGAAGATTCCATTTTATCTCAGACAAGAAGGAAAGCACCCAGGCAGTAGCTGTAGGAAATCTTGGGATTATTTCCATTGGGTGCATTTATTCATACAAATCTCGGGTTTATTTCTGTTGGGTGCATTTATTCATACAAATGGATTTGTTTGGAGACTGAGGCCTGAGAGGAATACAGACTGTGTGAGGATCTAGCTCCCAGTGGCAAGCTCTTCTCTTGCTGAGCGGATAGAATCTTACTTGGTGAGAGTAGGGAGAGAACATAACAGTGTTTACAATATGCAAGGAAAAGGGCGACCTTAATAGAGGATGATACAAAACAAGGGATGTCAGGGTCTGAAGGAAACTCGATCACCTCTCACCTGCTCTGACGTTAAGGTGAGAAGAATGAGGTTCGCAGAGTCACACAATGTGTCTAAGGCCACCCAGGAAAGCCAGAGGGAAGAGTATTTGCAAACTATTTTCAAAAACATATAGGAAGACCTTGTTCAGCTGCATGACTTAGCTGTGCTGACAGTACATGGTCATAGGCCTGATTCCTGGGCGTGGTGCTGGAAGGGTCAGAGGTCACTGGGGCTGTGCCAGTACTTTGTTTATTCAAGAGCAGAGCTTGAGCCTGAGGCATAACCAGGACTTGGACCCCAGTCCTCTGACCTCCAATCCAGCCACATTCTGCAGCTGAGCCCTGAGGGAGGCTCGTCTTTAGCAAAGACGCCCACAGGAAAAGGAGGAGGCCAGGTGTCCTGCATCTCATGGCTGGGTTGTTGCCCCCAACTGGGCGGGCTTCACCCTCTTCAGGAGTGACATCCCTCCATCATCTTTCCCCCGCAACCTCTCTATGGAGATATAATTTTCATAGCCTGTGTTCACCCATTTAAAGTATGTACTTCAGTGATTTTTAGTATATGTGCAGTGTTGTGGAATCATTTCTAAAGTCAATTTTAGAACATTTCACCCCCCTTCCCAAAAAACCCACACCTATCAGCCATTATCCCATAACCTCCCATCCCTTTTCTCCAGCCCTGGGCAACCTGATTTCTATTTGGATAGATGTTCCTATTCTGGACATTTAATATAAATGGAGTCATACAATATATATAGTCCTTTGTGACTGGCTTTTTTCACATAGCATAACATGTTCAAGGTTCATCCATGTTGTAACATGTATCAGTACTTTATTCCTTTTTAATGCCAAATAATATTCTCTTATATGGATATACCACCTTTTATTTATCCATTTAGCAGTTGATGGACATCAGGGATGTTACCACTTTGGGGCTATTATGAATAATGCTGCTGTGAACATTTATGTACAAGTTTTAGTGTGGAAATATGTTTTCATTTCTCTTGGGTACATACCTAG